CTGCTCTAAAAATCCACTTCTGGGGCTGTTTTATCATTACCAGATTTGCCCCAAAAAAGCATCAATAAAATAGGGAAAAATCAGTTATTCAGGAAAAATTAATAATTTTAATTCACCAGCTGAGAAAAGCCAAGACAACTGAGCTCCCAAAAAGCAGAAGCAACTTTAGATATGGAAAAGTGGCTTTTCAAGAGTTCTCTCCTTTGAGTCCAGCCTAAATCCAGTCAAGCAATAAAAAGATTCCTTAATAATTAAGATTCCTTAATTCCTGTTGCTTGATGGAGGAAAAACTGGTATCAGGCTTATTTTCTACCACACATCCTGCTTTACATCTGGGAATCTCCTCAGGGAGATAGGAACTGGAGGAACTTCCAGAAATCCGGGAGAACAGGCACTAGGATGGAGCCAAACTTCCAAACCCACACTGTTTATATTTGTATTTTTGGAAATGTCACCTCAACAAAGACGTGAGGAATGGAATTTCAAACTTCCTACCTGACTGAAGGAGGAATCATAATCCCTGTAGGAAGAGCTGCTGCTTTTTTTGTGGGGCCTTTCCGTGCGCTCCATGTCGGAGTCGTGGCTGTAGTCAGAACTGTCATCGCTGGAAGGGGAGTTATGCTGGAAAACAGAACAAAAAAAGCTGGGAATTTGGAGGGAATCATCTTCTTTCCATAAATGTAACGAGCACAAAAGTGATAAATTTACATTGTGATCTTATCCTAAAAACTCTCAAATCCCTCTGGGTTCAGCTTCCAAGACCGGGATTTAACTTTGGACATTTAAGACCAGTTTAAGTCTTAATGGTAATAAAACCATTTTAATTCCTTCACCAACTCCCTGGATCCTTGTCCTGGGCACCCATGAACCAAATCAGCACTTCCAAAACGTTGGTGTTTTTTCCTAACCTTATGCTTGTCCCGTCTTCTCCTTTTGGATTTTTTCTTTTCCTTCTCTTTTTTGCGTTTCTTCCGGGATTTCCGGTGGCCTTTCTCGTTTTTCTGTTTGTCCTCCCCTTTTGAGCTGTGTTCCTTCACATCCTCATAGGCTGCATCGTCTATTTCTCCATCTTCCAGCTCTCCATCTTCCCTGGAAGAGGGAAACCAGGTAGACAATAAAATTCCATGTTATTATCCAGCTCACCTGTCACTGGAAAAAAAGAGTTAAGAAATCCAAAGCAACCTCAAGCTGTGATTTTTGGGATAAATGGATATGCCAGGGAGAAGACACAATTGCTATGTGATCTGGAATTTCTTGGAATTACATTAATGAAATAAAACTGGAACATTAATATCCCTGAAACACCTGCAGCTATCCCAAAAATCCAATTATGTTTTGATATTATCAATTAAACTCATTCCCTCAAGGATCAATTAAAACATCCTCTTCGATAAAATACCTCCTGAAAATGCTCCTTGGGAACAAAGTTGTTCCCATGTTCCTCTGGGAATTACACTCAGGGATTTCCAGTTTTGGGATGCACACAGGACTGGCATAACTTTCCAGGTAAAGCAATCTCAGTAATACAATCCCTTGGATTGCATGGCAGAGGGGAGATTACAAAAGTCCTCTAATCCCTGCATTCTTTCCACAATATCCAAGCACTTTCCAAGGACTGAGCTTCAAGAATGTAAAAAAAAAAAAGGAGGAGGAAGGAAAAAAAAAAAGGAAGAAGGAAAAACCCAACAACTGGATAAACATGGATTGAAAAAATAATGATCAAAAATACCATTTCTTGGAAAATAAGTTATTTTTCAATGAAGTGCCAAGGCAGGAATTCTCTTCTGGTTTAGCTGCTTTTATTCCCATTTAAATCCCAAACTAGAGCTGTGCACCAGGAAGGGAGAGCAGAACCTCCCTGTCACGAGTTCCCTCCCAAGCTCCAGATATTTGGAGCTCGATGGATATGTGGAAACAATCCCAGAAAACATTCCCATTGTCTGACTGGATTCCTAGAGCATCTCCCAAATGGATCAGAAAGGCACAGAAGCCAAATGATCTTCCAGGAAAAAGCAACCTGATGAAATCCCTGGGCATTTCCACAGATATTTGGGAAGAATAAAAAAAAGAAAAAAAAAACAACAACAACAACAAAAAAAAAAAACCCAAACAATTCTGGAATTTTAACTTCATTTCTAACCTTCGAACCTGGATTTTAGCTCCCCTTCCTTGATCTTATTTCAGGTCATCTTTAAAAATAGAATTCCTTATGCCCAAAGAAGATTTACTCCAGAAGCTCCTTAAGTCCAAAATCCAAACCCTGGATGCATTTTCTGAAATATTCTGGGTATCTTTGCCCTCAAACATTATTGAAGTCCTTAAATTTTCATTCCCCATCATTTCATTTTAAAACAATTTTACTTCAGCTTAAAATTCCCTGAGGACTAAAATTCCCCAAATTTTGATGCTAAGGTGCTGCTTAAGAAATTAATAAGGAAAATAACTCCAAATAACAGAGAATTTCCACTGGAAAAATCAAATAAAAGCAGAGGGTGGCTGGGAGCAGTAAAAAGTGAAAGTAAATGAATCCCAAGCTATTTTCTGGGAAATCTGGCATTGATTTGTGTGTAAATAAACTTGCCTCCAACTTCTTCCTTACTCTGCCATGGATTTGCCCACACAGAACCAAGAAATCTTCAAAAAAATCCTTCCAGGACACCTGTGCTGGAAGGCTCAGACCCTTCATCACCAAAATAATGTCAAAAACAGGAATTAACTAAAACTAGTTCAAGAATTAAAAACATTCCTGTCTTGAGAAAATTGCATTAAAACAACCTTCCAACTTGGAATATTCAAAGTGTGGCCAGGCAGGGTTGTTTTAATTTTTTTTTTTTTTTTTACTAAATAATTTCTTTATCATTCAACAGATCAGCTCAGATCTAACTAGTAACAATTCCTGCTGCACAAATTGATTGGGAATCGGGAGGTTCCCAGTATGGGTGTTCCCTGCAGTGAACTGGTTTTACTGGTCCTATATTTGCACACCTCACGTAACACAAAAACTTGGGAGTTGGGCCTTTCTTGAAACAAATGAACTTATTTTACAGAGCTGAAGTTTTATAAAAAAAAAAACCACAAGTTGTGATCTCCCAGGTGGTGTGTATGGTTGCTCTTCACCTCCTAAATTAAAACATTATAGAGCAACACTCGTAAATTAAAATCAATTAGGTTGTTTAGGTGGCACTTATAGGCTCTATTTCACAATTACCAGTGTCACAACTGGTTGTACTGGTGGGAACGGCTGGTGAGTGGATGAGAACTCCAAGCTGGAAAAACCTCAGCTCCCAGCACTACCCAGAGTCACTCGGGCTTGTCCTCAAGGATTTGAGAACTCCAGATATTTTCAGTCCCTGGAAGAGTGAAAAAGCCACAGCCTGAATGCAGGAACTCCACGGCACAGCTCTGCCCCAGCTCCAGAGATCCCAGCGGATTCCTGGTGTGCACTCGGCTTGGAAAACAGGGCATGACACAACTTCCACCCTTGTCCAAGGACAAGCAGGAAGGGGGAAACGAGAACCTGGAGCTCTGGGTTCTGCCTTGAACTTGCACTAAACCTCAGGCCCATTTCAGGGATCACTTCATGAGGACAAGCAGGAAGTGGAAAACAAGCACCAGCAGCTCTGGGCTCTGCCCTGACCCTTGCACTAAATCCCGGGAGCATTTCCCAAGGACAAGCAGAAAGGGCAAAACAAGCACCAGCAGCTCTGGGCTCTGCCCTGACCCTTGTACTAAATCCCGGGAGCACTGTGGGACCACTTCCCAATTTATAACTCAGAACTCGGGACACTTTTTCTCCAGCGAGGAAATAGTTTTGCATTCACCCTGTACAAGCCTTATTTTTTTTTTTTTTTTGTCTGTTTGTTTGGGTTTTTTTCCCAGTGTTTTCTGGTCCTCTGAAGTACCACAAAGGGTTGTGGAACTGTGTGGGGGGAGGCCAAGCTCTGGGAATCCCAAATCCGGGGCATTTTTAACTCCTGCAGCTGTGTCAGGAATGCTCAGGGTAGATGTAGGCTCAAGCACTGCTAACTGCCACCCTGGCACAATATTTTTGGAACTAGTTAGGAAGGCCAGGGCTGCCTGGAGAAAGGATTTGAATTTCCAGCAGCTGCAGGAGAGAAAAGGAGGGAGGGAAGGAGGGAGGGAGCAACAGAGGTCCTTTCACCAGGAACAGGACTCTGGGTTTCTGCGCATGGGGATTGAGAGGTGGCAAAGATAACGTCAGTCAGCCCTTAATCTGCATAAAAAAGATCCAGTTAAATGTGTAAGGTGGAATCTGGCAAGAAAATGACGTTAAATATGGCTCTAGTGAGAGATTGTGGTATCAACAAAAACAGCCAAAAATAAAAAACCCGCCCAACTCGGAGCACCCTTTCCTGCCTGAGACAGAGAACAATGGTGATATTCAACAGACACCCCCTGGAAAGTGCAATTTATGGAAAGAATGGCAAACAGCCCCCCTTCCCAGCCAGAATAAATCAATGAAGATGTAAAAACGCATGCATTCCAAAAGGAAAAATTAAAACCTTGCTAAAAAAAAAAAATGCACTTTTAATGCAGTGACACCCCCCCTCCCCTCCTTGCATTCCCCACCACCACCACCCCGCTTCAGCCTGAAGGTGACCTGCCCCCCAAAAACATCGTTAACCCCCTCAGGCACATTAACAGAGCATCATCATCATCAGCATCAGCATCATCATTACCAGCATCACCCCACTAAGTACCACCATTATGAGAAGCGGAGAGAGAGAAGAATGTTACTCGACCTTTCGTCCCCTGCATGTTGCCTGTCAGAGTCGGGCATGTTTAGGTCAAGAACTGGGTTTGGGGGTTTGGAGAACAGGCTTTCAAAGGCCATTGTGCCTGGCTGTGGTGTGGTGAGGAGGAGGAGGAGGAGGGAGGTGGAGGAAGGCAGGGCCCCGCCGCTGCCCGCGGTGCGGAGCGGCGGGAGGAGGCGGCGGCGGCGGCGGCGCGCACGGCCGCGCTGGGGGCGGCTCGGTGAGGAGGAGGAGGAGGAGGGCCGGGCCCCTCAGTGAGGAGAGATGATGAAGGTTTGCACTCACGGTTACTTAGTGAGACACTAACGGGCACTCAGCGCCCGGGCCCGGCCGCCCCGCGCGGGCGCTGCGGGGAGGCGGTGGCGGCGGCGGCGGCTCGAGCGGCAGCCCCGGGGCACAGGAGAGCGGGAGGACACACACACGGGGGGAGGGAGGTGCTGCTGGCCGGAGATGGCGGCCCTAATTCTTCCTTACAAACATGGCGCCCGCGCGAGGCACTCGCACAAAATGGCGGCGGCTGAGGGAGGAGGAGGAGGAGGAGGAGAACGGCGGCAGCAGCAGCGGCGGCAGCGGCCCCCGGCGCTTTGCCCGCACACGCTCGCTCAGCGCCCGCGGCCCGCACACGCCGCCGCCGCTGCCGCCACAGCGTCTTCCGCGCCCGCCGGGGCCGCGATGTCGCCGCGTCCCCTCACGCCGCCGCCGCCCGCCGCGCTCCTCCTCCTCCTCCTCTGCCGCGGCCCTGGGCCCGCCCCCCGCGCGTCGCCATTGGCCGCGGCCTTCCCGTAACGCGCGCTCATTGGCCTTCCGCCGCGCCCGTCACTCCCGCCGTGACGTCACGCGCGGGCCCCGCCCTCCTCCGCTTCCCCTCGGCTGCGGCGGCCGCCGTGCGCGCGCGAAGGGGGCGGGGCCTCGCGGCGCGCCGCGTCACGTGCCCCGCGCTCCCTCACGTGATGGCGGCGTCTCCCCGGGAATGGTGGGGGAAAAGGGGGGAATAGGGAGGGAAAAGGGGGAAAAGGGCGGCGGCTTCCGCCCGGAGAGAACCGGGACGGGCACCGGGAGCGCGAACGGGCCTGCCCTCCCGCCACTGCGTCACGGCCGCCGCCCCTCCGCCCCCCCCTTCACGCGCTGCGGGCAGCGCCCCCTGGCGGCGGGTGTGTGTGAGGGGAAGCGGCCCGTGCGTCGTTAATTAGCGACACTCGTAATTAAACCGAGAGTGTGTGTCCCCAGGGCGGGACAAAAGCGGTCCCTGGAGTCGCTGTCGGGGTCAGGGCGTGACAAAAACCGGGATAAAGTGTTTCAAAGGCAGCCATGTAATAAAAATGTGCGCGTAGGGAAGAGGCGTCCGTCGGAGTCACCTCAGTGACCTTTAATCAAACGTTCCCGGGAAAAGTTACATTTTTTCCTTTTCCAGGCTGTCTCCCTGCCTCTCGGGGCTTTTCAGGACGCGCGACTCGGCTTTTTCCAGCGCTAGCAGTCGAATAAAGTTTATAAAATCAAGGCGGAACACCCGCATGGGTCCCCAGTGGGAGGAGCCTCAGATCCTGAAGGGAAGAATCATTTCCCTTGGGCCTCACGCACCTGAGTAAGGCAAACAAAAAAACCGAAGGTCCAGGTCATCAGGGAAATCAGGTAAATCCAAGGAAAAGGCTGGAAAACAGCATTCCTACAGGGACGGGGTGGTGGTGGCTGAGGAACATCATTAGGGACACTTAGGGCTAATTGGCCCCATCAGCACAGGTGGAGCCCTGGAGCTGATGCCCACAGGACTCGGCATCATCTCCTTAGGCCATAGGCAAGGGAGGAAAAAAAAAAATGGGGGATTCTAAGTCTGGACTAGAAGGAAAAATCCCAAACTTTTGGTTAAATATTCTGGGGTGAGAAATGATGATTTTTTGGGACAGCACATCTGGGGCCAGCTTGTGCCCGCCAAAGGGAGGCGGAAGCATTCCTGCTGTTTTTTCAGCTCCCAAATATTATTATCCCAAATGAAAGCTGTATTTCAAGACCGGAAGAGCCTCTCTCTGCAAATTCCAACCTCGGGAAGTCTAAAAGATGCCAGAGCGGCCGTTCTGGGAAGGGGAAGAAAGATCTCCTTTAGTCAACTGGAACGGCAGCCAGAGGTTGAGAAAGGCGAAGATCCGAACTTAAACTTTTCCAGGGCTGGAAGGGAGAAACCAGCTCACCCTGGCCTCGGGAATTGGGAAAATGTTGTCAGTTTGGGATCGTGCCGCAAGGAAAAGCCTCGGGAGCGCGGTCCAGGCGCCCGTCTCCAGCTGTGTTAGCCGGAGAAAGCAGCAGATGGAAACTATTCTGCCCTGTCAGGAGCTTGTCCTCTCCCAGATTCCTGCTTTTCGGCTCCCAGATTGTGTTATCATCCCAAAACAGGGTGATGGGCTGTCGGAGGAGCATGTCCAGAATGGGAGAGGGCGAGAAGAAGGAGAGGAGCAGCAGCCATGCTTCTAGAAAAGCATTTTCTCCTAATTTTGAGGGATATTTTGGAAGCGCTCTGGAGTTTTCCCTTCCCTCCCCCAGCACAACCCTGGGATACATTTCCCTGCCCGGCTCTGCATCCAGCCAGAGCTCCCGCCAATCCAAACATCCTCCATCCGCTGACAGCGGCCCTGAATGTCCCTTCTTGTTCTGCTGGAGAGATCCAACCCCTTCCCAAGCTCCCATACCCCCCAAAAATCCAGGAGCTCGATCCCCCAGAGGAGACAGATCCATCTTGGGAAGTCTTTCCTCAGGACAAGGAGTGGGAATGGTTTTAGTGGGTGCAGCTCAGCAGGGTGTAAGGGAGTGAGGATTCCCAGGGGAAAGGATGCTCAGGGGTGAGGATTCCTCGAGGGGAAGGATGCTCCAGGCTGAGAATGCTCAGGGATGGGGATGCTCCGGTGGGAATGAGCCCGCTGCTATCAGCCAGCCTCTCCCAAACAAAAATAAAACAGTTAAAATAAAAAGAGATAAGAGGTTCTTGCCCTCCCAGACCCCAATTCCCCTTGGACTGCTCCAGGTGACCATTCCCCCCCCCCATCCACATATCCATCACTGCGGTGACATCCTTTACATCATCCTTTAATTGTACTAAATCCAGCGGGATGAGGGAACATGCAGAACATGCACAAGCAGGAGGGTGAATCCCCCTGGGAAAAGCTGAATTCCAGCTCTTCCCGGCATTCCTATGCCAGGATGGAGGCTCTGGCTGATGGAGGAGGGAATATTCCCACCTCCACACGCAGCTGAAGCTCTGCTGTGAGGAGGATCCATGGGAGATCCCCATTTGGGATGTTTAGGGAGCAGGGATAGCCCTGGAATTCCTCCTTTGCCCCCGCTTGCCAAAGAGGGCAGGCAGGTGGATGTTCATGGGGTTTTCCAGCCCTGATCAGTCCCAGGGGATTGAGGCACCAGACCTCAATCCCCTACAGGCTGCTCAGCATCCGGAGGGAAGTGGGAGTGTGTTTTTAGGGAGCAGGACTGGGTGCAACAAGGGAGGAGAGCAGGAAAAGGCCATGAGCCTCCCTCCTCTCACACACTCCGAAAAGGGAAAAACAGGAATTCAAAGGAAATAATCAGGGCTGTGGCTTCCATCTGCTGTTTGTTGTAGGACATCGTCTCTCTGGAGCTGGGATGAGGATGGCGCTGCTTTTCCACCGTGGGAAGAAGAACTTCGGGACGGAGGGCAGAGCAGCTCCAACCTGGACTTTTCCCCAGCAGGGAGCGCGACCCCCTAGAACTCATAGGGCGAGACAAAGAGAGTGATTTTGGACAGGTGCTTGGCCTGGAACACCCGGTCCAGGTACTCGGCCATGTCCACATCCACGTGGACGGTGCGGGGCCCCGGCAGGCTCTGCACCAGCAGCAGCTCCCCGGTGTGCCGGCCCGAGCGCTGCACCACGAAGTGCCCGCGGTTGTTGCCGCCCGCGATGCCGAACCGGAGGCTGTCGGGGCCCGGCCGGCCCGGAGCCGCCGCCGTGGCCATGCGGAACAGCGGCGCCGGGGTCTGCAGCTTGGAGGGGAGCGGGAGGTAGTGGAAGGAGATGGTTTTGGGGGCCTGGTGGCAAGAGCGGCTCTCCATGGGGCACGGGTTGCGCTCGCACTGGCTGCAAGAGGAAAAAGCGACACGGGGAATGCGGCGTGCCCCGCCTGGCTGGATCCACAGGGATGCCGTGCCCTGGGTTTTGTGCCCCGCACTTACAACGGGGAGGTTTTGACGTAGGAGACGTTGCCGGCGGCCGGGGGACACTGTGGGGTGACGCACTGGAAACCCCCCCCGGTGTTGATGCAGGTGCTCCCGTTCGTGCAGTTATCCTGGGATAGGGAACACTCATCAATATCTGGAAAACAGGGGTGGGAAGCGGGGTCAGGGCCTGGGAGCCTCCAACTGAGTTCACCTCTCCATCAGAAAATTATCAAAACCACCTTGGAGCAGGTCAAACGCGATCCAAAAAAAATATGGGAGCATCCCAGAATTCCACCTCCTTTCCCCGAGCTCTTTCCCCAGGGCAGCGGGTGTTAAGAGCAGCCCTCTCCCAGCAGGAAGGCAGCTGCTTTTCCAAACTTTCTGCTGGATTGTTTGGAAACACCATCCCTTTTTACTCCCTGAACACCCATGGGACACCTGGCAGGAGCTGGAATGCAGAGGATTTGCTGGGAGCATTAGTGAGGTGCCATGGAACATGGGAAAATCCGGGAGGAATGGGGAAATAGGGATTTTCTCACCCCGAACTGCCGCAATCAACGCTTCAGGGCACAATAAATTCCCTGGTTTTCAGGAGACTTTCAGCAGTTGTGGCCTTCCACTATTCCCACTTACTGCCTTCCACCTGCACTCCAATTCCCTGGGGAATTGCCACCCTCTGAACTGATCCTGGAATTCTGGGGGTTTAACATTACTTTTGGTTCTTTCCAGGAATTCCCCACTCCAGGAACATCCCCACAGCCACAGCAGGGTCGTCTTCAAGGAGGTGCCGACCCAAAATCATCCGGAGAGGGCAGAGGAGAGGGGAGAGGGAGAGGAGCAGCCATGCTTCCAGAAATGGGTTTTATTTTGATTTTTAGGGACTCTTGAAGCACTCTGGTAGAGTTTTCCCTTCCCCAGCACAACCCTGCAATTCATTTCCCCATCCAGCTCCGCATCCAGCCGGAGCTCCTGCCAATCCAAACATCCTCCATCCGCTGCCATCCCGCAAAGCGTCGCTCCATCGTCCCCTTCCCCTCTTACACCAGCCTCTTCCTTGGAAATGGAGAAAAAAGTGGGGGGAAATGGCAAAGCACTTGGGATCAAGTGTATCCCAGCCCCCTCACCTTCGCAGCTCTTGCCGTCGCCCAGCAGGACGTACCCGGCGGGGCAGGAGCAGCGGAAGGAGCCGGGAATGTTGACACAGGCATAGGCGCAGAGCCGGGGTCCCCCTTCCTGCTGGTACACCTCGCACTCGTTGAGGTCTGCGGAGACAGGGATACACCGGGACCTCGCTCCAGCCTCCTGGGAAAACCCAGGGAGCGAGCGCGGGCTGGTGGAGCGGCCGGGGAAGTGGGTTGGGAAGTGATTCCAACGGATTCCATGGAACGGGAGCAGCAGCGCAGCTCGGGTGCTGTGAGCGGCGGCGTCCCGCAGAGGGCGACACTGCGCCCAGTTCGAGCTCGGCCATCCATGATCCATTGATGCATGGATTCAGGGCTTGGAGCCTCCTGAAGGAGTTTGGGTCTCCCTCACTGGAGATACTCCAGAGCCAGCTGGACACTGGACACAGCCGCCGTGCTGTGCGCTCTGGGATGGCGAGCTCTGAGCCGCTGTGCTCCCTTCCAGTGTGACACTGCGAGCGGCCGAGGCACCGAGCCAGCCCTCCCGCAATCCCGGCTCACCCTGGCAGATCCCGTCGGGAGCCGTGCCGCTCATGTGGAAGCCGGGGTCGCAGCTGCACTGCTGGGTCTGGGCGATCTGGGCACAGCGGGGCTGCCGGCTGAAGGCCGGGTCATCCGTCACGCTCCAGGCGGGAGGAGCTGCGGGAAAACGGGATGGGCAGCTGGGATGAGGTAGGGGATGAAATACTCCCATTTATCCCCCAGCAAGGGTCACCCACCGGTCTGAGCCTGGTACTGGCAGGTGGTCCCGGTCCACTGCGGGGGGCAGAGGCATTTGAAGTGGTCGAGCCCCTCCAGGCACGTCCCGCCGTTCTGGCAGGGGCTGCTCGAGCACTCGCTGATCTCTGCGGGAAAAGCAGCCACGTCTCCTTTGGGGAAGCAAGCCTCAGGAATGCTGCATGCACCGGGATGCTTTGGTGCCCTACGGCACTTTATAGCCAGGACGCTTTCCATCATCTCTCCTCCTGAGCTGCTCCAGCTATAATTCCCACTTTCCCTTAAGACTGAGAAATCCCAAAGCCGTGGGAGCTGCAGCATCCCTGGACCTTTGCGGGGAAGCTGCGATCCCTCCCCACTCTGAGCACCGCAATATCCCCGCCGTATTTAAATAAACGCACTTTTCCAAAGGCCGTTCCAGGGCAGGGGATGAGCAGTACCTACCTGCACAGCGGGGCTCCTGCCCTGTCCAGCTGCCGTTGGCCTGGCACATCCGTGTGCTGGAGCCCAGCAGCTGGAATCCTGGATCACAGACGAAGTGAACCTCGTGATCCACCAAATATTTGGTGCCGAACATCCTCCCATCCGCAGGGGCTTGGAGGGCAGGACAGGAGGCTGCGAGACCATGGAAAGGGGGTGAGTTTGGAGGTGGCCCTGTCCTTCCAAGCCACCCTTTACCTGCTGTTTTCCCTGGAATGCTGTGCCGAGGACTCACGGGCGGGCGGCTGCGGGGCGGCCTTGGCCAGGGAGGCGTGGATGGTGCTGAGGCGGCTCCTCACGGCGCGCAGCCCCTCCGAGAAGCGCGTCTCCTGCCCCTTCAGCAGCTGCTGCATCTGCCGGATGGCAGCCAGGAGCTGCTGCCTGCTGAGGCAGCTCTGCGGGAACAGCGATGGGGACAGGGATGGGGACCTCCCTGCGCTGCCGCTCCTCCCGGGAGCCGACCTGCTGCCCGTGGGAGGAGGCTGGTGCGGGAGCTCCGCAGCATCCGATGTTCCCTGAGCGCCCTGACTTTGCGTTTCCCCCCGCATTTACCCAGATCCAGGAGTTTTTTTCCACCTAGGCCTGTGCTCCAGGCACGGCTGGGATCGCTTTGTGGGAGAGATGCTATAACTCATGTTTCATCCTGCTGGAGCTCCAGCCCTGTCCCATTTCCACATGACAAAAGAAGAGGAAAACAGCTGTCTTGTGAGCTCTGCCGGGGCCAGGAACGCTGGTGGGACTCCTGCCTGCAAACCGATCGCTCCCACGGGGCTGACTCATGCCGGAGACGGGCACCGTTATTATGGGATTCCTGCGGAATTGACTCGAAACCGAGGAAAAAGAGCAAAGCCATTCCCAGAGCTCAGAAATCCGGGGAGCGCAGTGAGGACAGAGTACACAGGACTGGGCTGGGAGCTATGGAATACCGGGAAAGCGAGCGGAGCTGGTGGGCTCTGTCCCACCTGGCCGAAGGGATTCCTGCCCCCCTTTCCATAACTTCACTGTGGAATGATTCCCATTTCCAGAGAGCCGCTGAGGGTTGAGGGAAACACAAACACAGCAGCCCAAGCAACGCGCTCGGTGTCCTCTGCTTCCCCGGGAGCACTTTCGGAGGTCCCGGGCTGCCGGGGGCGGGGGATGAGCCGGGCTGTGCAGGCAGCTCTGGGATACCCCGAGCCCAGAGGAAGGGAGGCAAAAGCAAATAGATGCTGGCGCGTCGCTGGCTTTAATAAACAGCTCTTTGTTAGGGCTGGCTTTAACTCCGGCAGCAAGCGCGAGCTCCGGCGGGATGCTGAGCCCTCGCAAAGCTGGCAAATCCGTCCCAAAAGCCCCAAACGGGGACTCTTTGCTTCCGGTGCGCTCGGGGGCAGCTTCAGGTGTGGGGTAACAAGGGCGAAAAGATCCCGAAAGGAGCCGCGCGCGCTTTAAGCGTGGCTCAAGCGCCGTTTAAGCGCGGGCTGGGGCTTTGCCCACCTGTTTGCCGGGGCAGGAGCGCCGGCAGCGCTGCGGGGCTGTCGGGGCGCACGGGCAGCGAGCGGGAAGCGGAGAGGAGCCCCGTGCTCCCCCCCCCGCGCCCCCCCCAAATCCCCTCCCGGGGTCCCGGTCCCCGCTC